GAATAGTAATAGCAATAGCAGTTAAACTTATATTTACAGCACTTTCTGAGCTGTCTAGAACCATCTGGGCTGGCCCCTCGTTTTACCGACCTTGGAAAGATGGACGGCTGGGCTCTTTCTCATATTTAGTATTTGGATCATACGTCCTATAGAACCTTGAAAGAGAATGTGAGGAAATGCGTTCCTTTAAAAAAACGTTCTAAGTACCCATATCTTTCTCAATGTTCATACAACTACTTGTGATGGATGGTATATTTATTTGTTGCTGAGCCCGAGTCTCAATTCCATTTCAGATTTGTATAGGAAAAAGTCACTTAATTGTCATTTTGGAGGGTTGCAATACTACAAAGGTTGAATTTATTTTACTGTTTGTGAAATTTAATTTCACCCTTCTCCCTCACAATCTTGCTTTCATTTCACAGTTATATTATGGGCATACTGATTAAACTTTTTCTTTACGTATGTGGTTTTCATTCTTGATATGTATTCTTTGTTATAAGATGAACTCTATGTTATATAGTAAACAAAATGAGAGAGTATAAGAAAGAGGTTCAGAAACCTTTTAAATTTGAAAATTACTACAGAGAAGCTGAACAGTGAAGGCGTACATACTTCCAAACAAATTGTCTCATCATATTTTGTTTTTGTGAATGCTCTTTAGCAAATGAAAAATGTACCCAGTGAATTGGGATGTTTGTTGAACTCCTCAAAATAAAAGTGACATCTTATCACAGGGTCACTTTTGCTCAATTTTACATCTTCTGGCTGCCATTTAAAGCAGCTGTTTTATTCAAAGGTCTGGATGGTGACATAACCAACATATTTTTAGGTGAAGAATGTCAATTTTATAGTGAAATCTGTGTCCGTAGCAAGTTTGGTCAGAAAGGATGAAATGAAAACCTGGGTAGAATAAATAAGAACTGTGTCGCTGAAGCAGAGCAGATGTATAACTGATCTGGAGCAACACAGGAGGAGAAAAGCATGGGAGGGAAGCATCAGTGATACCTGGTGATCAAAGCACCACATTTTCTAAAAGTATCAATAGAAAACACTGATTATTTGCACAGTGAGAAACAACTGATTGGAACACATCACAAAACAAACACACAGACACACAGAAACTCCCACAAATGCCATCACATTGTTCCATTTTAGAACAAACAGTACATAATAAGTTAAAGAAAATCACAGCAGAGGATTGAAAAAAGAAAAGATCTCATAACTAGATTCATATGTAAACTGATTTTCACATATGCACTATTAGCTAACTTGCTTATCCGTTTATTTAACAGATTAACATGGTTGTCCGATAAACATGCTACTGGGTGGCTAACAATAAATAAAATAAACCCAATAATAATTTTAAAAAACAACTGAAAGCAACATTTCATTAACACAGCAAACTCAACAAATAACCAATCACCTCACCAAGGACCAACATTTGGGGAAAGAGCCTGGTCTTTAAGGCCTTAGGCAAAACGGAAGGGTTGGGGCCATCTGGATCTCAGGGGTTGTGCTCAGGTTCCATAGGACAGATATTACAAGAGAGAAGACATCATTCCTGCTGCTGTTACCTGGCATTGTTTAACAGAGGGAATGTGGAAGACACCTTCCTCTGCCAGAACTCACAGAAACCACACAAATAATAGGAGACTGATAGTCTTGCCCTAAACCATGAAGGATTGTACAGCTGATAACCAGCATCTTGAGTTGAACTCTGAAGTCTACAAAGAAGCTAGTCAACTCATAGAGACTGTCACATGGTTGAATTGAGAATTCCCATCATCTACACGTGCCTTGCCTTCTGGATCATTGGCTGCTTCTGAGGATTTTCAAGGGCAACCCCATTTAAAGAGGACTACTGTACTGCTGATAGATGGTAAGCAAATTATGACTGACAATAAACAAGGAAAAGGAGCAGCTAGCACAAGAGATGGAACCCTGCAAAAGCCCTCCAGCTCTCCAGCTCGAGTTCTTCCCCAGTTCTTGAACAGAAGCCAAAGACAAGAAGGACCTGGGAAAATGCTACGTATTTCAGAGCCAAAAATGACAAATGCTCAAATCGGAGTGGTTCCCCCAAACCATAACTCTTCAGGCCTACAGGGCTTGAGCTTTTTTTTTTAGGCTGGTGTAGCCTCCAGACACTAACCCAGAGCATAATTGAGTCCCTCTGAGTAGCAATTTCAATGTATACCTAAAACAGGAGCAGGGAAAGTAGAGCCCTTTGGGGCTGGACTATTCTCTCTCTATCAACATCAACAAGGAAGGACCAGTGGAGGAAGGAACAGAACTCCTGCCACATTGTCTTTCTAATCTCCTAATCCCCTATGTCGGTCCAGAGGGATATAAGGACGGATGGTATCAAAAGCCACTAAGAGTTCAAGGGAGGCCAGGATGGATGCACCTTAACCAGCTTTACCACACTTTAAAAACTAATTATGTGAAATATGGTGAGTGAACATTGTGCATTGTAATTCTCACTAGGTACACCAGACAATCAAATCAATTCCACATGAAGACAAAGCCTACTTTTATTTAGTTTGGCTACTCTAAGAAAACCTTGAGAGACTGATAGTGTTGTAGGTCCTCTTATATTTTATACAGATACTAGCATCTTCACAAATAAGCCATGGTCACATGATCACCATGCGTGACTTTCCTGCAAGCAACATCAATGAAGAAGACAGCAAGGAATGTCACAGGTTGTTCCCTCTGTTTTGTCTCCTGAGGAGAGCTGCTGCGAAGGACCTCATCATCTACAGCCCCTCCCCCATTCTGAGCTCCAGAGGGTATGACCATCCAGCATAACTTAGATTTTGTAGGAGAATGAATAGGAATCTTTGCCTATGCACCACTATAACTTGTAAGTCAGAAAGGCATCGATACGGGCATTTTTCTTCTCTTTCTGCTGCCAGCAATCTTCACTGGTATTTTTACCCCCAACCCCTCAATTGTTTTAAGAAGGAAATAATAAAAAATGATTTTGCATTAATTGCTAATTTGGGCCTTCCTTTCACAAAATCCTTTGATTCAGTTCATAACAGAATAAGACTGCATATATTGTTTCAGATTTAATCCTTGTTAATAGTTACTATAATCATTTTAACTGCTTAGAATGTGACTAAAATTATCATGAATTGGGCATGACTTTTTTCAGTTATTAAGTTCTTATCATGACAAATGAAGTGATTTGTAGCAAAAAAGCTTTTTTTAAAAAAACAGGTATGTGATACCAATGCAGTGTTATTTGTTTTCTCCAAAGAAAAATATTAATGATGCCATGGCACAGATATTACAGAAATTATAGATAATGACCCAAAAGAGTCAAATTTCACTTTCAAAAGGAAGTACCATATTTTTCATAATATAAGACACTCTGGAGTATAAGACCCACCTTAGTTTTTGGGGAGAAAATAAGAAGAAGAAAAAATTCTGCCTCTGCCTACCAGCTTCCATGGTGCTCAGCTGACACATGGTAACAAGGTCAGCCAATGAATAGGCAGAGCAACCGAGTCAGCCAATGAGGGCTATTTGGACTCTGAAATTCGCTGTGTGAGTCAGGAAGGAGCCTGGCTTAGCCGAGAATTGAAAGTGAAACTGCTTGTGTTTTGCTTGTGTTAACTACTTCTTTGGAAAATCTGCTTTTGATAATGTATTGTGTGTTATTATGATTTTGAATCCTGCTGAATCAGTTACTGTGCTGTCTGAATGTGACGGCTGCTGCAAACTCTGACCAGCCAGGTCAACTTCAGCACTTATTGCAGCCTGATTCAGCACAGCTGATTGGCGGGTGGATCGGACTGCTAGAATACCCCCAATCAGCTGTTCCAGGCTGCAGGGATTGCCACAGACCATCGCTGCCTCCATGCCTCACGTTTTTGGACTCTGGTGGGGCTACCTTCAGTGTATAAGACGCACCCAAATTTTCACCCTCTTTTGGGGGGAAAAAGGTGCATCTTATACTCCGAAAATTACAGTAACTCTGATATGAAATCAAGCTTCACATTGATTTATTTTATAAATATATTTATAAAATTGATTTTCTGCCTTTCAGGTGATTCTTCTGTTACTAAAAGAGTGGATGCACTTAAAATAAAAATGTAACTATATCAGCTAAGGATTTTGAAAGGTATCATTTGAAAAGTGATGATACCCCAAATAAAAAGTGAAAACATGAAAACATATGTGAGTATGATACAGGTACACAAACTAATTAGACAGGGGAAGCAGCATCCAATGAAAGATTCATCAAATCACTATGCAATACAATTGGAAAACAGCATGAATCCAAAGGAAAGAAGAAACCAAGGGAACCTCACTTCTCTCAGATGTGAGTTTCACAATAGGGATTATACTAAGAAGACAGAATACGCATTTTAAGATGGTGAGCTTATGATTTTAACAATTTTAAGTTGATATGGAAGGATAGAATTCTTCAGAAGGCCAGCAATAAACTATTAAGGTTTTGAAGGTCATGGTTGCAAGGCCCAGCTGTTGCACTATATACTAACAACAGATTTTGGTTTGGTGTAATTCCACTCTTTCTGCAGTCTTACTTAACTTGCTACATTTTTAATACTCAAGGTGATGAACATACCTGAGTTGGGATGAAAGACAGTGACTAGACCAAAATCACTCAGTAGCTTTCATGCCTAGAGCAGGACTAGAACTCAGTCTCCTGGTTTCTAGGTCACCACTTTTAACCATTACTCCAAACCACCTTTAATCTCTTACTTAAATTGTCCTAGAATTCTATCAATAGAATTACCTTTCTTCTCCCATTAATTCAGCCAGCATTTCACTAGACTTGTTAAATCATTAAGTATATTCAGCTCTTGTAGAATTGACTAATTTCAAAAATATATGGCTGTATGCTGTGAAAACCAATCAATGTTTTTGTAGTTTTCTGAAAAATGCATTGAAAAATATGTATCAAGAAATCTAGGCAGCAATTTATAACATATAGCTGGGAAAGAAAAAGAAATCACTGTGCAACTTACCACTTCTTCATGGGTAGAGCCTTCTACACTTATGCCGTTAACCTAAACATCATAAAGGGATTATTTGAAACATTAGGAAAATAATATGAAGCATTTATTATAAGCATTAAAAGCAACACATTTTACAGTAAGTGTATAGAATAAACTCACCTGTATTACGGCATCTCCAATAAACAGCATTCCTGACTGGTCTGCTGCAGAATTATAAAAGAATCACAAATTATTTGAGAGACTTAAAATTTTTTTACGCTGCTACAAAAGTGTTGTTTTTGTGAAAGTTGGTGCTGAAATAACATCACAGTAATTCACTGAAAAATGGTACCGTTTCTAAGAAAATTATGAAAGCTTCTTTTCATTAACAAAAGATTATCCTATAAGAACACAATTATGGTTTCTCATTAATGATAGATTTCATTAAAATATGGAGGAAGCACGATCCTTATTTAACAAAATAGAAATTCTGCTTTGTTTCTTCTTCCTGAAAATATGTCCATAGAATGTAATGATCAAAGGAGATGAGGTAGGAATTTAATTAAGTGTGAACTTGAATCCAGTCCACCGAAGTATTAGTTCAGCTGCAAAATAAAATTAACGTGGATGCCAACTCATAGTGTAGTGAAGAAGCATAAATTGCTGTACTACTTATTGGAAGGATAACACTCTTGTTTCATAGGCTTATGCTACTACATATGAATATAAATTTCCATATGTTTTAAATATTTTTATTGAATATTTCTATAATTGGGAAGGGAATGAATTATTGAAAGCTGAGAACTTTATCAGTTATTATCTGTGAAGGATAAGTGGGATATGTAAAATTTTTAAGTAAAGGAAAAAAGTATATTGTGCTCAATCCAGAGTGTACCAATAAATACCAAGGCCTCTGTTTCCAACAGGACCACCAATATGGAAAGCCTTTTAGGGAATGTTTGAGGGAATTTTTAAAAAATGAGGATTTTTTTATATTTGCTTCTAAGTGTACTTTAGTAATTGGCATTGTCTAGAGAACAAACTAGAGACAAAACTATATTGTACCATTATTTATTGATATGATTTATAAAGCCCACATTTTGCTCAAGTGAATCAGGACCATTTACAAGAATTAAAAACCACAGAAGCCCACAATGTAGAACCCCTGAGGCCCAAGGAGGAACTACAATTCCACAATTCACAAAAAGCCCTCAACAACAGCACACCTCATCCCACCCCTCTAAATGCCTGAGCAAACAGATCTTCAGTGCCTCATGAAAGCTGAAGGAGTTGGGCCATCTGAAGATCCAGGGTGATGGAGGAGGGGCTGACTCTGGACTCCAACAAGACGGTCTTGTTTAGAAGGAATCCAGAGCAGGTTTCATTAGATCTGGTGGAGTAACAGTTGAAACAATGGGAGAGAAGCAACCCCATGCAGAGTCCGGCTCTAGGCCACGGAGGGCTTTATAGGCTATAACTGCACCCTGAATTGCACATGGAAAGTTACTGGGAGTCAGTGCAGCTCATAGAGAAAAGGTTTATTATGGCACAAATAAACCTTTGCCCATATTGCTGCCTTCTGGATCAGCTGCTCCTTCTGAGTGTTCTCCAAAGCACATACAATAATCTCTTTTCTTAACGCCCTGCGCCTTTCCTCCTTTTGCCTTCTCCCAAATCCTAGAAGTGAGGAACAGATGTTGCAGTTCCAATTATCCTGGCCAGTGGTGAGGAAGGCTAAATATCTGGATTCTAGCCTGTGTTGGATAGCAGAAAGGAAAATCCTTATAGAAACATCCCAATGGAAGGGTCACAGCTGGATCCCGAGTTCAGGAGTAAATGAGGGGAGCGGGGGGAAGCTATTTCTATTGCTCAGTAACAAAACGAAGTGACTTTCTACTGACATCTTGCTTGCTACTGGGCTGAACAGCTGAAAAACTTCTATTTGATTCTTTTCATTCACCAATTCTTTCCTTTCTATTTGGGCGAAATTAATCAGACAATGTAACATGATGGCTTTTAAAGTAGACCGAACACATTTCCAGAGACTAAGTATATCACCTCTGCTAATTGTGTTGGCTTTATGCGACATTGGATTTTGCAAAGGTGCCTTGTTGGGATAGAAAAATCTTTAGCCTGAATTAGCAGGACTCTTAAATTTTTACTTAATTTGTCTTATTGGCTAGGTTGTCCCAGACAATTTGGGTGGTCACCTGTTCAATTATGGTAGGGGGAAAAATTACCTGAGAATTGTTACATCCACACTGAACAGCAAGCCTCCAAATGTCTGAATGGTGTTTAACAACTAAGTATAATATTTCTATTTGATTGAAATTTTTAGCAGAGTTTCCACTCTATCTTTTGAAATACTGGAGAGAATATGTTTCAGTACAGACTCTGGAGTTGCTTAACAAAAGGGACAGTTGATCTGTATGTGTAGATTACAGATGTAGATTATAGCTACACATAACGTATCTACATGTATACATCCAGGATAAGGAACCTTTTATTTAAGATTTACAACACCAATCATTATGAGTTGCTTTTATTTTGAGGAAAACAAGTACATTCTGTATTGTTTCAATTTGTGATTAGTGCCCTCTGTAAAAAATATTGCTCTTTATTGTTCTTTTATTTTGATTTTCTGTATAAAGGAAAGTGAGACCTGAATATTTTTCCTGAACATTAAAAAAATGGAGAATTGCATATTATGGGCCAAAATTATGGGGTGTTGATGGAGTGGATAGAAATAGGAGAAAATTATAATCCAAAAAACATTAGTAAGGTCTAAATCACTATCTCGTAGAACAATGACTACAATTGAACATATAATAAAAGCTAAACTGCATTGTCACTAACGGTTAGCAATTTGCTGTTACCACTCTTGTAGTTAAAACGACTATGAATATTGTTGTAATGTTCTAAAGTTAATGCTTGAGTATTTTGTAGCTAAAATGGCAAATGATAATAATAATAATAAAGATAAGCCAAGAGAGGAACTGAAGCTGTTACACCAAATCATGTAACTTTCAACAGGCAATAGAATAAAGGGCTCCTCTCTTAATCTCAAAGATATTATTATTCTTTTATTATATATTTCTTCTTAACCCACATTTATTATTTTTATAAATAACTCAAGGTTACTGAGTTATCCATCAACACAATTTCCTGTGCACTTTAAAAATCCATCAAGCAAGCTGTCAAATCTGTAATCCTTTTTTAAAAAAAAAAATGCAGCATGTATAGCAAGCCAAAAATAGAACAGAAGGCAAATTAGCCACCTGACTAATATATTCACAATATTTTACCTCCTTCTCATGAACGACAAAACTAAACTATACTTTGGCTAGAAACAAATAATGGGAATAATACTGGCAGAGGATATATATATATATTTTAGTTCCCACTGAATGTAAGAAGATGATCCAAACTTTACTTTCTCGAGCCTAAACTTTAATTTTAAGAGACGTATTTAACTACTGTTGCTTATGCCCCAATACCTCCATCTGTTTCGTAATGACACTTCCAGTTTAATAAGAAGCTTCCTAGCAGCTTGTTTTTAGTGTCTCACTCTGAAATCCTAACATTTTAGACAGCAGGGAAAACTTTCTTAACTTGACAGGAATTGGTATGAGTGACAAAATTAACCATCCTCCTTCTCTTATTTCCCCACTTCCAATGTTTGTCTTTGGCCCAGTTCAGTCCCAGTGACGGATACGAGGCTGAATCAGTGATATAAGGATGTCGCAAGCACTTCCTACTCCGCTAATCTTTTTCTGTTGGGAGAACTGTTACTTTTACATCCAAATTAGGTCTACTGGAGGCTTCACACACTCATCTCGACATATTAAAAACAATTTTAAAATTGCGCCACTGAATTTCAAGAGCATAATTTGGTGTAGGTTCAGAGATCACTAAAAATGAATAGCTGGAACTGCAACTGATAGGCGCACTCTGGTCTTCTGGAAAAGCCATTACACCACCGAGAGAGCTCAGAAATGTGGGCATTAGATATGGAAGACGGAGTAACATTATGTTCATTTGTCCATTCTTGGCTTTTATGATCTGTGCGACTGAATCTGCCTTTGGAAGGGTGCCAGAGCAGCACTAATGAGGGAGATCCAGGATCTCTCCGAAGCCCTTATATCGCATCCCATCCCAATTTCAGGCTATTCAAGTGAGACTAAAAGTAGGCGTGAAGGTTTACCTGCGAGGAATACAGAGTGGCTTCTTCCACAGAAGCTATCATAGATTAATATAATGATGTTTCTCTTGTGATTTCTTGCTACCTCTGGATAATGGAAAAACTCATGCTGCCAACCTGATCATGTTATTTTAAATGTACTTTATCTTGTAGCTGTGTCCTGTTTTTCCCCAGATGGCACATCAATCAAAACAGAGCTTCACAGATTTTATTTTCAGCCTCGCAGTTAGTGTATTAGTATGGTGCTCAAATATAAGCTTACTGTAGTGTGTGATAAGAGAGACTATTTGCAATACCAAAATATTAACCTGAAATAGCACTAAGGGAGAAAAGCAAGAAAGGATTAGGGATTTAAGTCCTTCAACTTAATAAACTCTGACCACACAATAGTGTACAAAGGACCTTCTAAATGATTTATAAACTCCTAAAGCAATTGCAGTTCATTACACATATTCCACTCTTCCATTAGGAAGTCCAGCAGGGCTGACAAAGCTTCCCTGATCAAGACCACTGCCAAGGACAGACCATAATGGACCCTAAAGCAATAACATATAAGTGACAGCAATCCCACTTTCTCCGCGTACATAAGACCACCGTACTGTAGCTGATAAAGACCAGTTGTAATTCTCTGTCTTCCCCCCCCTCTCTGTCACCCACACACCTTTTGAGACTCAAAAAAGGCATGACTCTATTGCAACATCTTTAAAAGGTTTCTTTGTGTCCTACCCTATTTTAAAGAAAGATGAAGTGAGGTTAATTTGAGGGAGTGGGTTGTCATGGATCCCTCTTTCACACGACTGTGTCATAGTTTCTGCATTTTCCCTTTTTGATGGCTTGCTCATTTCTCCTCTACATCCAAGGTCAACTCTACATACTTTTACACTAACTGCATCCCAAAGTTTTAATCAATAAAAAAAGAAATACAACCATTAAGGGGAAATTTAGCCCTCCCATTCTCATAGTGAAACATCTGCATTAATTGTCTGCTGTTTCCTTGACTCCTTTCCAGATACCAAAGTTAGG